ACTTATCACTTCATCACTTTTTGTGGAATCTTGCACCCCCTCCCCCCCTATGTCATCCCTTGTCATTTTCCCAAGACCCCCTCTCCCCTAATGACGTCATCATAGTTTTTTTGGAAGCCAGATACTGTATTCACCTAAGGTGTATCGTAACTGTGTTTGAGATTAGTAAATTAAGATAAAGACTATTTATTTATTTTATTTTCATTTACTTTGCTCATGAGTGTAAGTTGTAATTTAAAAAAACACAATCAATTAATAAACACGAAATAAGCCAAAATATACAATCAATTATAAATACAAATATACAGTAAAACCTGTCTAATATGAACACTCTCGGGACCAGTGAAAAACGTTCAGTATAATGGAGTGTTCATAAAGGAGGGGTATAAGCAAATATTGATTAAAAGAGCAGTTTAATCATTTAGCTATACCGTTTAAATAGATTTCATTATTTTATTTAAATAAGTTTTAAGACTACATTTTTTAAATAGACTAGTTTAAGTACGATGTACAGTTCCTGGTTGAATAGGTTTAAAAAAATCTAGAATAGATTTTTGCTTCACAATGTTTGAATCTAAATAAGCATCAATTAGCTTCGACTGTAATTGTATTAATAATGAATGCAGTTCTGGATATTGACTTGATGATAATAATTTTAAACGATGAACCATTTGTATTGATTCTGGAATTGAAGGTGGTTTTTCGATATCTGGTTCTTCATCATTTAATGTATCATCATTTGAAACAACATTAACTAATAGAATATTTTCATTATTATTATCCAACTCATTGAAAACTGGCAAATTATTGTCGACAGCCTAGAACAATAAATAAATAGATTATGAAAAATCCATGAGAACCTGGGCTGATTATTGAACACTCACGATAAAATCAGAAGCCGACATAGTATCACCACCAACTTTTACATACTTCAATACTTTATCAAGTTCATTTAAATATTCTTGTTCTTGTGCAACAATAACTTCATCAGCTGTTGTTGTTTCTCTTGATATTGAGTCTGATGCACCACTTGATATTTGAAAACCGGCTCGTTTAAATGTATTTTGTATAGTTAATTCCGTAATCGATTTCCATGCTAAATCTATCCAACAGATAGCGTCCAGCGCTGTAATAACAATGTCATCAGCTGTATGTGCAACATCAGCACTAGCAATAATATGTTGTACAAGTTGTCGTCGATAATGAGCTTTAAATGTTTTAATAACACCTTGATCCATGGGTTGGACCAAAGCAGTTGAGTTACATGGAAAAAATTTCAATGTTATATTCTTCAATATTATATCAGGTGGATGCACTGGAGCATTATCGAGAAATAGTAATATCTGACGTTTTTGTTTTTCCATCATCAAATCGAACTCATGTAACCAATTTGTGAAAATTTTACTGTTCATCTACGCTGTGCGATTATTATGCCAAACAATAGGTAATTTTTTTAAATCAAGATTTTTGAAACAACGTGGTCTTGCTGCTTTACCTGAAAATAGAGGAACTATGGTATTTATGTTAGAAATAAAGTAGATGACTACTCACCAATCACTATCGGCTTTAATTTATGGGTGCCCAACCAATTTGCACACAATAATACTGTAAAACGTTCTTTAGATTTTTTTTTACCAATACAATCGTCTTTATCAATAACAAGTGAACGATTAGGCATGAGCTTGTAAAAGAGACTTGTTTCATCACAGTTGTAAATATCAGCTGGACTAAAATCTTGAAGAATTGTTAATAAACGTGATTTCCAATCATCAGCTATATTTTGATCAACAGAAGCACCTTCACCAGATATAACACGAAAATTTATATTATAACGAACTCTAAATCTTTCTAACCAACCATTGCTGGCTTTGAACGTTGATGCATCATCTAATTCTTTAGCAATCTGTCGTGCATATGCTTGTAAAATAGGTCCGGACACAGGTATTTTCTTGGTTCTCTGTGAAACAAACCATTCATAAACTGATTCATTTATTCTTTGACTAAAATCATGACTAATTTTTCTCTTTACATTTTTGTTATGATTAATTTCATAATCACTTATATATTCTCTTTTGCGTTTAATGATGTTCGATACAGCACCAATTGACAATTTAAATTTATCACATAGTTCACGATATGATGAANGCCACATTCAATCTCTTTAATCAATTTAATTTTTTCTTCGAGAGTAAGATCATGTCGAGATGACATATCTAAAAACAAAGGCAGAAAATATTTCTAAAGAAACAATGATATCAATATAGTCGTTTTATTATTTTTTTTCTTATTGTCTCTCTTCGTATGTATTCATTGAATTAAGTTACATAACCAATTAGTTCATTGATTTTCACCTCTATCGCTCCAATAGTATTATTTTCTTAGATGGCGACACCTTTAGAGTTCACATTGATAAGGTTAATATATACTGACGCGACCAAAAAAATGCGTTCACATTCAGAATCACGAGGTGTTCATAAAGGAGGGAGGCAAAACAAGCAAGATTCGTTCGGTGGGACCGTAGAGTGTTCAGTTTAACAGGTTGTTCATAAAGGAGGAGTGTTCACAGAGAGAGGTTTTACTGTAATAAAAAAAAAAGAATAAAACATCAATAACAAAATATGACACTATTTAAACAATACTAATCTTCATTTTCTTTAACTTGTTCGAAGTCAGATTGTAAAAAATCAAATATATTATAAATAATAGGCGCTGTTGTTTCATTATTTACTTGTTCATCTTGCTCTTCATCACTATTATTATTATAATCATCATCAATGACCATTTGATTTTTTTGGAATTTAATTGAGTGTAAAGTTCTATGTTTCTTCATAGCAGCAATTGAAGAGAAATATAAATCACATGTGCCACAAACTCGACGTTGAATATCTTGTTTTATTGATACACAATAACGATCGAATGGTATAGAATCCATTGTTAATTTTTCATGAATAAATTTTTGTAATTGTATACGTTCAAATAAATTAAAAAATTTGAAATGCTTTTCATCAAATGAAGCTGGAACTGGACCTAATTTTGACATATTGTAGGCAATAGGTGATGGAATAAAACGACTTTGAATAAGTTGGAAATAATATGATCGCCATGGTTTGCAGCATTTATTATTACTACATCTAACTATTTGCAATAAATATTGACTTTGACGAATATGTTCAGAAGACCATAATAAATCTTCTGGTTCATTTAAATCCTCTGGATCATCCAATGGTGGTTCAATATATTTTGAAACAACTGGATGACTATCAATCTTTAATTGAGACCAAACTTGTGCTAATGTATCACCTAAAAAGACTTCAGTTAATACAATTTCATCTCTTTCGCTAGCATATACGTGAATCTTGCTCGTTCTGAAATGATATTTTGACTACGTAATATTTGAACACTACCTCAAAACAACGGATTATCAGTTCTTGTCACATACTACATAAGTAAATCTCATATATTGATCTTTGCCAGACAAAGAAAACTGAGAAACGTCTTTGAGAGCTAATAAATGCAATACCTGCACG